CCCAAGAGAAGATAACTCTGCAATACGCAAAGACGGAATAGCCCTACCCTCTTCCCGGTTACCGTTGGGTCATGTTATACAATTCTTGACTTTTTTAGGTTAACATTGCTATTTGTTGACCCGAGCAAGGTGGTATTCCCAAAGGCCGAAGGGTCATACAACTTCATAACTATATGTTGTTTTATGACCTAGGTATGTTAATCCCATACTTTGGCAGAATCAGGTTGCTGGGTCGCTTCAACTATAACTTCAAATTGTGATTGAGCTATTAATATGGACCCTTTAACAAGTATAGACGGCCTGAAAAGAAATTTCTACTTGTTTTTATTTGAATAAATGTGAACAATGAGCAATATCATACGTCCAATAACTTCCTTCAGTGATTAAATGTCAAACACAGGACGAAATGTACAATATGGTGTGTGAAAAACGTCTTCCCGTCACGTTGCTTACCTGTTTACAAATATTTACACCTCGATAATTATTCGCAGATAGCGCTAAGATAATTGTATTTGACTATACACGAGAAACCGTCCAAGGTAGTGTACCGATCCTCTTACCCCGCAGTGACGGGATTAAGTGGGTATTTCCTGTGTCAACAGGTAAATAGTTTAACGTATACGGACGTCATTAAGTTCATGTCATCATCCGTAAAGAGTACCTAGGAACAGGTAAATTGCAACAAATATACCGATGCATCCTTACACTACCAGCATTTTAGCAATGATCTGATTAAAATAGCCAAAGCAGAGGATTTTATCTTTTTCAAACAACAACATAAAATAAGGACCGCTTTTAAAGAGCTCAACGACATTTAGAATTACACTGTATAGTACATACCCAATGTCCCTTTTAACATTAATATCGAAGTGAAATACTCCTTTTACATGCAGATGATAACATATACTGTCCCAATATAACTGCTACATGCATTTCAAGACACACAAAAAAACATTTAGTGAGAATATTAACTCCTGTGAGCTATTTCTGCTACAAAAAATCTACGAAAGAAGACCTAAATGTAAATAAAAGCAGGTTCAATCTTAACAAACATGCATGAATACATGTAAAATATTATAATGGCACATGCAACGGAGTAATCACAGATAACGTATTTAGATGAAAGATCTAAATCTTCTCACAGTAAAAACGTATATTCAAGGTTTCTAAGTGATAGGGAATCTCCTACCTTAAAAAGCACCTGCGACATGACCCTTTTGTTTTATTAAATAGGAATAGCGTTCACCTGAAATTAAGATTTGGGCAAAAAGATGCAACAGAAAGTGCAATCACAGATGTATATTAACGTCAAGAATAAGTAACTCAAATAAAACGAATTATAAAAGTGAAAGTTAAATATCACACAATTGTTTCTAAATCGAGTAAGAATCGAAAGAATATGTAGTGCAAATTATAACGGTGATACTAAAATCAATAGCAGATATGGCTTCAATGTCTATCTGATATTTCCTTAGACATGTCCCAAATATTTGGCCAGTTTCACCAGTACATGTATATGTTCAGTATTGTCGCAGCTGTTACATTGAATTCGGTCAACCTCTCTTGGCTTGTCTTCGAACGCATATGCTGATGCGATGCTTGCTGACACACATTTTATGTACGGTACAGTGACCATGCCGTTAGTTTTCTCCTTGTGAACTTTCTGTTTCTTAATAATATTCCGAGGTCTGTTGGACATTTTCGGACAGCAAATGAGATTTATCTCCCTTAGCACGTTTTTTTTAACAATTCTACACTTGCACTTACGTCATGCACAGCCGTGTTACTAGCCTGTATAATAAGCTAGACTTTTGTGTGCAACATGAAAACAACTTTTACCTACACCTACGCCCTATCCACATAAACGGTGCTATAAACGATAAAAAAAAATTGTAATTATAAATTCATTATTCCATCTTTCGTATATATTAACTCGAACTAAAAGGTATGATTTGGAACAATCATTATCTATCATCAATATGTTTAAATATGTTTGATTCTCAAATAGGAAAATGCCTGAATTTACAAAAATACAAAAGAATACATAGTGTTGGGCGTATTTGAACGATAGACTACTAAATGCAGCACCTGGGCCTCGGCCCTTATCAACAATTTACCCGTCGACCTAGAGTTAAGACGCTGTAAACAAGCCCGTCCTAAATAAAGTAGACGACATACGCAGGACAGTTTTAGGGAGTGACCAGGATATCTTTCTTTAAGTACAAATATCCGAGTCACCGAAACAACAGACATACCCTTTGCGCCAGATTGTCTGTTTGTCAACAGGTAAACACTATTACAACTGAGTAGGACCAGTGACAATGTGGACAATATCGTGTCAGTTTTATCTGGGATTTCCTCTCCAATAGTATTAATTACAGGAATTCCGTATATATATATATACACACACATATATATATATACTGGTGAATCAATACAGGTATGTATATATATATTACTTTTATTTCGTGATAATTGTATGTCAACCATAAGTTGCGAGGAAACTACCGAATAAATGACAACACAATTTAAAGGTTTTTATATTGTTTAAAATGGTATATTAATCTGATCTCTGTTACTGCTTATAGATTTTTGATGCTTGTGATTTTATCTGCATTCAAGTCGCATTTGAAAACGGGGAAACTTTACCCATGTCGACAAGTTGATGTCCGTGTTGTTATATTGTCCAATCAGATACATATGTGTTTTTCCTATTTTAAATATAACAATAAATGATAGTGATTAATTCTTGGTTACACGTTAAAATTGTTTGTTTTACGCACTGTCCTGATAAAATGCCCTCATACGTCTTCCTGCCAATTCTTTGTCATCGGCTGCAATATCAAAAGTAATCATTTTATCATTTCTTCAAATACTTTTTTGAAGAACATTGCTTCATTTTATAAGCACGTTAATACTATCATTTTATTCACAACATTCATTGCATTTCCTCAAAAATGAATATATATAATATATATTTTACATACAGAACAGGCCAACAGAAACGGGTCAAAATAGATTATTGTATACCGAGAAATGTTCGCTGCAGTTCAATTTTCGCCTTTTTCGTCCGGCGAAATGAGGGCGAATTTATCATTACAGCGAACATAAATTAACAACATAATATGCATATTAATTTAAAGTGAAGGTGAGATTAACATTGAGCTTCTATGGGTTATTTTGACGAAGGACGAAAGTTTGACTAGGCGAAAATTTCCCGATATACAGTATATCAAAAAGACGAAAAAGACTTAATATACATGTATGTCAATGCATTCAATATAACAATAGTTAGCCTCATTGAGTCCCTGGTTGCTATTGTCTCACAGTAATAATTGTTTGTGTTTTTGAATTACAGATACCAAGGACGACATATCAAGGGAACGGATCTCTGAGTATTACTTTTTGCAAAAGATTGACTAAAAGCATCATAGCTACCGTAATGCACACACGAACAACGGTGTGCTGGACATTAGTACTTATTTGTGTAGAATTGATGTTTGCTGAGCCTGCCGACCGGACTGCCATGTCCTACTGTAGCTTTGAACAGAAGACCGCCGGAAAGTATCCCAACTACTATCGTGACGTCCCCATCATACCTATGGTGATTGTGTTAGATAAAACAAACAATAGCGAATGCGTTATCAATTCTACCGAAATAATCCAGGCTTATAATTTCCCTGAAAATCAAACAGTGGTCGGGTATTTTTTATTCAAGTGTCAGACCCGGTTAAAGATACTCTTTATAGACACGGAATCACAACAGAACGCCTTCCCGAACGTAATAGGGTATCTGCAAGTCCGCGACTGTATTATTGACAACAGCATGGATCTTTTCGCGAGCATTGTTGACATGCGAGTGTATATCTTTCGTGAGAGAACTGGATTCGCCATTGATGGACCCCCATCGTCATACTATAGTATCAATGACAAAACAGTAAGTCTGGGAATTAATGACATAGACGTATCGAATGGAATGGAGGCACGTAGCATTTTCAAACATAAATCAGCGTATCCTCATCTTAAAGAGGTGTCCCTGTCAGGGTTAGAGTTACAGGAATTCCCAAATAATTTGAAAAACAAATTTCCAAATCTGGAATCGTTAGAAATGCCAAACAATTCCCTAACAAATCCGCCATTGGAGTTCCCGTGGAACGACAACACATCCGAACTCCCGCTAAATCTCTCAAGATCCCAGTACCTTCAACATCAGTATGCAATATCCCGTCACCTTGACATTCCAGCAAACAAATATGCAAGGCTGTTTAATTTGAATGAAAATAAGATTATAAATTTAACCGACTTCAGGTTTCATGGAAGGCTACATATGATAACTATGGATAGTAATGGTCTACGCGATATAGGTGGAGACTGTTTTGTGTTTGTGTCAGATTTACAATATATCGGAATGGCAAATAACCAGTTGACCTCACTTCCGGCGCTTCTATTCAAGGGTTTATATTCTCTTCGACTATTAGATTTACATAACAATACTATCAGTGATTTGCAATTTGGTCTTTTCCGCGATTTGAAAAACCTGATACACTTGAATCTGGCTTCAAACCAACTCCGCAGCCTGCAGGTTGGTCTTTTTGAGAACTTGACAAGTCTTCGTGAGCTCATACTGGACGAAAACAGACTGACGTCATGTGATGGATCTTTCCAGCCACACAAGTCAATCTTTCTCCAACACCTTAGTCTGAACAACAATCCTCTTCGTGATATACCTATTGATGTATTCTACTCTCGAAGTATAAAACGCGTCGATTTGCGCAACACCACCATTACGCTAAGCAGTTTCCCCGCGCTACTCCTCAAGTTAAATCCAAGTCTATTTGCTGCCAGTATTGTTGAATCTTCAAGTGACTCACAGTTCAATATTCTTAAACGACCGAAAGAAATGAAAGAAATCGACTTAACAGGGAGTAACGTCCGGGAGCTGAACCCTGGCGTTAACTTGGATCATCAGACTGCACAAAAACTTCTTGTCATCCTCATCCATTACCATTTAAATCTTGACAAGAACCCTCTCAGTTGTGATTGCGGTATCATACCACTGATTAACTTTGTACACAAATACATTCAAAACGGAACATTACGTCGGAGTGACTATTATTTCCGTGAGTGGATGTGTGTCTACCCGCAAGAATTTGGCGGAAGGCGGCTACTTGAGGTAAAGGAGGAAGAAACGTATTGTAGGGTGAATGTTTCGTTGTGTCCAGAT